TGCTTCATTACTAGTCTACCACATTTGTAGAAATATAGAACACACTGGTGCTTTAGACAGCTTCCCTATTTTAACAGGAATAAAAAATCTCTGCACTTTTGTATACGAGACCCAAGGTGATTTTGGGGGCTTTTTTTTTTTTTTTTTTTTTTTTTGGGGGGGGGGGGAGAACTTCATCCTATATGGTGTCATATACAATAAGTTATTATTCAATTGATCATTCAGAAATTATTAGCACTATAATGTTCCATCTTATCATTTTTGAGCAACCTTGGTTCAAGAACCATACTAAATATCTTGTCAGACCAACTGAGTTTACTAATTAATAAATGCATTATATTTCACTGAACTCCCAACATATGCATTTGCTGTATCTCTAAACCATCAAGGATCATAAAAGACACTGTACTTTACTTGGAAACCATAATATGGGTTAAACATACCGAAAGTAAGCTAGGAACTGATGGAACTACAACATGCACTGTAGTATGAACAATCACACAATCAAACTCCACACTACTTGCAAGCTAACCAAACACTGGTGAAAAATTGTCTTCTGTCAACCCAAACCTCTGTTAAGCTTAATAGATGTACTGGATCATTCCCAAAAAATTGTGGTGTACCTATAAATTGAATTATATTCTGATTTTGCTAATCTATATTACTATATTTATCCTGTACATGAATACTTTTATGTTTTGCTGAGAAACTAAATCTCAACATGCTGATATTGTAATAATAACAACTATTCCTACCAACTTCAGAGCAAGTGCACCTCCCTTTTCATGAGCACAGACCTCATGGTTATAAAAAAGCTACATAAAGAAATAAAGATTAGTTCCTTACCCTTCTGCTCGCCATTTGCTGTAATTTCCTCTCTCCTGCGCCGTATCTCTTCCCTACGGCTGGCTATCTCCTCTGCCGACAGGAGGCCTATACTGCCTGTAGCTACTGATTTTTTTCCACTGGAGGTTGAGTCCAACAAGTTCTTTCTTTGAACTCCATAAATCTGAGAAAAAATATATCTGTTACCAAACTGAGAAATGCCATTAATTTGTTGCACCTGGGTGTCAACACATAGTTGGCAGTCAAGTTTTTTGGCAGCCAGGTGTCAAGGCTGCCTCGGTGCTTTGTGTGGCTTCTACATCCTTTAAAAATATGAACTAAACAGTGCAGAAAAGTTGTTTACAGTGCATCCTCATGCAGATATACAGCTTCACAATACTGATTTAAAACTCGTTATTTCACCACACTTTGTATGGGGATATGAACTAGCACTGCATGACCTCAGAAAAATGTCCTTAAGTCTTGCGAGCCTCTAATTGGCCAACTCTGTGGTTTGGATGGCCTAGGTGCTTCAGGTTAACCCATTGCCGACGGGCATGCCGTGCCATGCCCACTGTGAGATTACTTGTTGGATTGTTTTTACACATAGATGGCTACACTTGTACTAAATCACCAATGAGCCAGTTACAAGTACCGCCTGTCTCGCCTGTTCACCCATTTCTTTGATTTACAAAATATTTTACGTTATCTTATTTTGCTGTTACTAATGTTAAAAAACATTATAATAATTATAATGCTTATAATAAAAATAACACCATTGATATTCATGGCACTAGTGAAAAATACGTTTTTCCCGCCATTTCAAATCAGACGCTAGCAGAGCCATCTATGGGCAAACATTTCACAAAAAAATATGGAAAATAGGCACAGCATTTTCTCCATTTTTTGTTCATTTTCCCTGGTGGCAATGGGTTAATAGGCTAAATGAAGGAAATCATCTAATTCATTCTTTTATAAGTAATAAATCTTTGTGTTCAAAATTTAAAATCATTATCCTGATAGGAGTATTTTTGCTTATTCAGTCTGGAAATCTGAATTACAAAAGCAACGCATTATATTCTATCAAAATATTTCCTGTTTGAAAAAATACAATTAAAAATGCTCTTACTCCAATTGCATGAGACAGAATACTTCTTCCCTAAACTTTGAGGAAATCTGAAGAACTTTCTCCTTTTTTCAACTATACACATTACCTTTGAAATATAAACAATAAGTGGATCATCATCTTCACTTTGACATTTCATAAAAGCATCTTTGAGTTTCTGGGACTCTGAGGGCAGGGTGTCAAATCGCTGAGTGGCTGAACACATAAGTTTCATTGCTCTTTCTTCTGTCATGTTCGCAGCACTGGGGAGATGATCTATCACCATGTCTGTTGAAAAGAAATAAAATCACCCACCTAAGAGTACTGAATTCTGACAGCACAATAATTAAAAGCATTCTATGATCATTGAAAAAAAAAGAGAAATGGCAAATGTAACTACACAATCACAGACAACAATGATTTCTTTAGTAGCAAATGAAACTACACAATCACAGACAACAATGATTCCTTCCAAGAAGGTATAAAATGTAAGAGGCCCACCTAATACAGCAGATGCCAGTGGTAGCCAGCTGCTACAGAGAAAATTCAGCTTTAATCTTGTGTCGGTTGACTTTGCAACACTCATTGGCAGCTTGACCCCCAATGCCTCTGAAAGCCTTACTGTTTCAGACATATCCTGAAAGCATTTGAAGAATAAGATAATGATTATAAAAGGCAACTTTAACATTTCATTAGCATATCTGATATAAATAAAATTAACTAAGGTTTAAACCCATGAACACAGATGGCATAATATCATGGAATGGCTGTGATGGACTAAGTCACAGATGGTGCTGCCAATTGACTTACTCAGAACAATTACTTTGTAAAAGGGAGCTTATTCCAATAGCAGAGATATCACTTGTTTAGTGTTGCTATTAGAAACAAATACCTAACATACAGGGAAACAAGAAAGGGAACAAAAATTATCATGATCAGACCAAACATTATATTTCCTTCACTGGTTTGAAATTTATGTTCTAGATATTGTGCTTAACCCATTGCCGCCGGGCGTGCCATGCCATGCCCACTGTGAGATTACTTGTTGGATTGTTTTTACACATAGATGGCTACACTTGTACTAAATCACCAATGAGCCAGTTACGAGTACCGCCTGTCTCGCCTGTTCACTTTTTTCTTTGATTTACGAAATATTTTACATTATCTTATTTTGCTGTTACTAAAGTTAAAAAACATTATAAAAATTATAATGTTTATAATAAAAATAGCACCATCGATATTCATGTCACTAGTGAAAATTATGTTTTCCCTGCAATTTCAAATCAGGCACTAACAGAGCCATCTATGGGCAGACATTTCACAAAAAATATAGAAAATAGGCACAGCATTTCCCCCATTTTTTGTTCATTTTCCCCAGCAGCAATGGGTTAATGATACTCATGCAGGCGCCTGCAACTGATAAGAAAAAAATACTCATACATCATAAACAATTCTAAACAGTAAACAATAGTACTGACAACATATTTTCCATTCCCATCAACTTACCTTTCGTGTCACTACAGTGTCATACACTTTATACAAATTTTCAAGAATAAGAGTAACAAACAGAGGATTCTTGCGTTTGTCTCGTGCTCCACGGACGATCTTCTTTTGTCTATCTTTCGTTGTGATGTAGTAATCTCCCCAAAGAGTCTTGTTGAGAACAGCTTTGTTCATTCCAAGTTTTGCTCCATACTGGTCGGCAAAGTGATGAATGCTGTGGATGGCAATAAAAAGTTTTAAATAGCTTCATATCAAAACCATTCAAATTTGAAAATATGTGTTAATAAAAATTACAGATGTCATATCTCATAGGTTTCTATTACCATTACTATTACCATTACATACTATTACTACTACTATTACATTACTATTACATACTATTTCTATTACCATTACTATTACATTACTATTACATATTATTTCTATTACCATTACGCACATACACTCACCTAAATCCCCACCCGTCATATGCACTAGCAAATACAACATTGCCCTGCTCTGGCACGAAGTACAGGTCAGAGTCATCCTCCGTTTCAATGCCCCAGTCAGAAAACAGGAGGTCGGAATCAGTGGCGCCAGACTCGGATGCCTTGCGTTCTCTTTCTGAAACCTTCCTTTCCCTTTCCGCTTCCTGGTACTTCTCAATTTCTTGCGCGGTCTTTCCAAGGAGAGCAGTATTGTACAGCTCTGCCATATATGCATTAACCTAAGCAGAAAATTGGTTAGGAATGATAGGAAGATATATGACTCAATTTTTTTGCTTTCAAATACTCTTAATTAATTAGATACTTGATATATAACGATCCCTACTATCACTACCAGATTTTTCTCACTTCCTTAACAAAACATATGTATGAAAAGGGAAAAAAAAAAACTATTTAAGCTCACCTGTTCCAAAACTTGAGCAATGTGATAATAACAGTCAATTGGGCTTAGTTTTGTTTCCAGAATTAGACGGTCTATCTTATTTAAAACAAGAACTGGACGGATGTTTTCCATCCAAGCCTGCTGTAAAACCACCTGAGGGGAAAAAAAAGGTAACGAAATTACAAGTGATATTTTTCATACATTAGAAAATGTGAATAAATAAAAACAACAATAATGAGTATAACATTAAAAAAATATAAAACCCATGATGCTGAGTGGCAAACACCAAGTGGCACCTATTTTTCCCATAGCAAGTTCAGCCAAATACTGGATAGCATCTCTCTCTCTCTCTCTCTCTCTCTCTCTCTCTCTCTCTCTCTCTCTCTCTCTCTCTCTCTCTCTCTCTCTCTCTCTCTCTCTCTCTCTATATATATATGTGTGTGTGTATGTGTATGTATATGTATATGTATATGTATATGTATATGTATATGTATATATGTATATATATGTATATATATATATATATATATATATATATATATATATATATATATATATATATATATATATATATATATATACAAATATATATATATATAAATATATATACATATATACAAATATATATATATATAAATATATATACATATATATATATATATATATATATATATATATATATATATATATATATATATATATATATATCATAGATTAGCTTATCAACCATTGATTCTTCCTGCTGCAACAGGAGCATAACAATTTTTTTTATTTGTCAAACACAATTTACTTCTTAAGTTTCTTCATACAACTGCTTTAAAGAATGTCATATTCCTTTAGTTGTCATGACCTTAAGAGATGGGAACATCTATTAAGGTAGCCAGTCTGCTCTGGATGGTTAAAAAGATGAGTATTGCTCATGCATGGGGAACTCGCCCGCAAGTGGTAACTTGGAATATGTTGTCCTGAAAGTCTCTTATCTAATACAGTCTGTCTGTCTGTTTGTCTCTCTCTCATCACTGGTGGAGGGGTAAGAGGTGAAGTAAAGGACAGGAGGATATGGAGACAACAGTAGGACCACTGAGGGGGAAATGATTGTGAATAGTACAAACATGAATGGCAATGAGGTCCTGAACCCCAAGTGCACCTTCTAGTATAATGTGGAACCTATGGGTGACTATCAAGTGGCATTGGAATCTTCTCCCACTCAGACCTGATGATAATAACTACCACACTGTACTTAACCCAATGGTGACGGGTGAAGAAAACGGAAAAAAAAAAAAAGAAAACTCTATGCTCTGGCAAACAATGGCGGCGCGCCGACTTTGAGCGCGTGAGTTCAGTAAATCAGCCCGAATCACTGGCTCGCCGCGCTTTGGCATGCCGCCGCATGCCAGCTTTCAAGCGGTTTGTTTTCACGCTTATTTGCGTCACCCGTCAGGAAGTGGTTAAGGCCCTTGGTGGAAAAATACTGCTGCTGGACTTTCAGCTAGAGATCATCAAGGTATATGAGCCAATCTGCCTAGAATATCAGGTGCAAGGGTGTCTGCTACAAAACTGACATAACAATTTACCATACCATTTGGGTCAAGTCCTGCCTTCCTCCTCTAATAAAAAAGAAATACCTCATAGAGGAAAACATACAATGAACAAGAATAGGGTATATATTAATATACAATCCAATACAAATTTGATAAAGCCAATCAAGCATAATAAGAACTCTATATTATTATAAAATTATAAAATCCTGTATCACAAATGAGGGACACAGTTTCCCTAACACAAAGTTAATAGAGGAAAAGTTGTGTGCTTTTTGCTGCTGCAGAACCTGGGCACAACAATAAAAAACAGCAGCTGCTAACACAGATACTTGGTTACTTTGTGTAAATTTAAGCAAGTGGCTAATGCAGGGGTCATCCTGAGGGACCGCCCATCCTTCAGCCACTTGTACTAAGAACTGAACTTGATGAGAGAGAGAATTTGATTCAGCCCTTGTTTTATCTGGTACTGAATTCAAACAATTGTCTATACTTTCCTTTAAACAGTTCCACAGCAATCCGACTGTTTCTAATACTTTTTGGTATGCTAGTTTTGGCCCATTAAAGAAGAGACTTTGACGTTTGAGCAGTTTTCCCCTGTATGGGAGTCTTAACTTACTTCCCCTCTTCTACCTCTCTTGAATTTGGTGCCAGGTTTTAATGATCTCTCTAAATTATAAATATATAAATATATATATATATATATATATATATATATATATATATATATATATATATATATATATATATATATATATATATTTTTTTTTTTTATATATTTTTTTTCATAGTTGCAGAAGTTATTCTGGATCCCTTGTTTGAAAAGTTTTCATTAACCATTCACTCATAACTTTTCCTTTATTGACTGCCTGCTCAATATCTTCAGCATTAAAATTCATATCATTTTAACTTGTCCATTTAGAAAAAGCATGTAAATCCCCTCTTAGTTTGTCTTCATCTCCTATTAAAGTTAATAATTTATTTATCTTTGTGTCATCAGCTAAAGATGGACTGCTTGACATCTGCATTAATGTACCCAATCATAATTAGGAACGACAGGGGTCCAAGAACTGAGACTTGTGGTGCTCCACAACTGATTTATTGGAATAATATGCATTAATAATTACATTTTGCATATAATATATATAAAAATTATGTCAAGTTGCTTACTAATCTGCTCATCATCACTGGGTTTAAGCGAGAATCATACTATTATGCAGGACGAGACAAATTAAAGGAAGAAAAAGCAAGGTAAGTGTTATATAAAAACAAGAGATAAAATAATGCAGTACCTTCGTCTGAGCACAGACTCCTTCCACAACATCAACAACAATAATGGTTCCATCGCAGAGTCGAACAGCTGTGGAGACTTCCGATGAGAAGTCAACGTGGCCGGGTGAATCAATCAGGTTGATCAGGTAGTCTTGTTCATCTTTATTATAGGCCAAAGAAACACAGGAACTCTTCATTGTGATCCCCCTCTCTATCTCATCTTTGCGACTGTAGGGAGTAAATATAGGTCAGAGCAATGCTTATTTTCAAATGGGGGTTAGATTATAAAAAAGAAGAAGAAAATGGCTAATCATAAAGGCAATGAAAAAAAGATTACCTAAACTTAAAGAAAAATTATATCTGCTATCTCCTAGAGCTCAAGTACCTGTCCATGTATCTGATGCGTCCAGCAAGCCTCTTGTTGATCAGCCCATTTGAAGCCACGAGAGCATCTGCCAGGGAGGTCTTGCCATGGTCAACGTGTGCCATAATGCACAAGTTGCGGATGTTTTGTGGGTTGCCCATGAGAGTGGGCAACTGAGAGGTTAAATATCTGCCACCAATCACCATCTTGGCTAGAACAAAGGAAAAGTTCTTATTAGTTTTATGTTTTACTTCCTCCATCTTGCCCTACTTTGGAGCCAAGTAAGCAGGACAAGATGAAGTCACGATAGCATTTGTATACAAACAATGATAGTTGTAGGCAACCATAAGATATTGGTGGGTAATTTTATGGCCCTTTATTGTTGTTATCAAAGGGTATTTTTGTGTCTGTCAGTTGCAGGCAAGTTAAATATGTATCAAAGTTCCAAAACATATGTAGCATGTAAAATAGACACACCAATATGATAAAATAGTGAATGTTTACTTTTAAGCTGATTGCATTGTGGGCAGTGAAAGCCTCAGAGATTCTGAACACTGCCTTGTTGTCCTGTTAATTCTGACACGTTGTCTGGACAAGCAAGACAAGGAGTTCCAAATGCAGCATAATAGACCACTCCTAGCAAATCCTTTTACAATTTTCTCTCTCTGAACACAAACACACACACACACACACACACACACACACACACACACACACACACACACACACACACACACACACACACACACACACACACACACACACAGATACTCACCAATATGGGCCATATGTATGACTTTTTAGCACTCTCTGCATCACTAATCAGATTCTTAATTGAGAGATATGAAAGCCAGTGGCTACAGCTACATGCTTGCCTTTTCAGCTCAAATGCCATCTGGCCATTCAAAGGTTATTCATTTGCCTAAATTGCTTTCCTTAACCACTGCTAATGAGGATGACATATACAGTATGTGCATGCCAGGTCTAATTGTAGTTTTAGTGTATTATATTTACACATAGATAACTTTATAAGCAATTAGTCACCATGGAGTCAATTACTAGTCTTACCTGTATCACCTGTTATCTTTTCCTTGCTTTTCAAAAACATTTTTTTTATTGCTATTAGAACTCTTAATAACATTATAACAATCACTAAGTAAATAATAATAACAGTATCAATATCAATAGCATTAAAAAAAGGAGATATCAGAGGAGGTTATAGAAGCCTACTAAATGACTCCCTAATTGCTCAGCATTTCTGGAGCCATCTAAAAGTGTACATTATGCATTCCCAATAGCAATGGGTTAATGTTTCGTACCAACATTGGGAATTTTGCCTAACAATTTAGAAAATAACAAGTCTGCCACTGGCCTCACAGGGTAGGGCAGCCTCCAGATCTGTTTGTACTCCAGTAAAGGGTAATAAATCACCACCATGTATATGCTGGCAATATGAATTTGTAAAAGTTGCTGATATTTTTTTGTCAATAAAGAAAGTATTCAATCTGAATTTTGACAGAATATATATAGCTGAGGTCTGTTGGTGTGATGGCTACGATAATCACTTTAAACTGTGCTGATAATGGATTTGGAATTATTCCACTCACAACAGGATCTCCTGATGCCATTACAAACCAAGTGCCAGGTGGTATGTGTGGTCAGTTGCATGAGGAAAAAAAACAGTAGCTATTGCAGTAAACAAAATTTCCTCTTTCTCTATTCATTGGCCTGTTGCATAAATGATTGTCTAGGTAATAACCCTAGAGATTTTTAGCCTACTTCTGAGGAGCAATTTTTACAACTTAGAGCAATGGGATATCATCATTATATGAGTGATGCTCTGGCCATGGTGTAATAGGATGAGTGGGATAAAAGTGAAGCCTTTCATCATGTTACATTTTCAAGTAGAATTAGAGAAAACAAAGAGGAGTAAAGGTTTTGAGGTTCACACCATGCTAATTGATTGCTCTGGTAATTATCTGTAAATGAAGCACATCAAGTAATGCCTCAGCCCCCATGCTCTGAATTTCAGCAAGGCCAACAAATCTTAATTATATGTATTCTAGTAAGGACACACTTTAGCCTATTTCTCAGTTGATAATTAATTTCAAATGGCCAACAAGGTCTATCTCTTACCTTGGGATTACTTTTATTTTGCAAAGAGAATCTTTATACCTATGTTGTACTGTGCATATCCTATAAGTGGCAACTTGTTTTTTTCGGTCTCTGGTAATTCTTTACAGTACAGACCCACACACCCGAGAGTCTTAAACTTTATGTCACAAAATTTACCAAAAATCTAAATTGCCATGAATGGGCTTGGCCAAACTGCCCAAGGGGAGGTTGATTGGGGCTCTGCCCCCCATCATCCCCCCCAGCAAAAAGTGTCTTCACCTTGGTATGTATTGCACGATAGAGATGAAACTTGGGGGCTCTGAATGGACATCCTATTTTTCCTTATTTCACTAATGTTCTGCAGACTGTCAAGAGTAATGAATTTATGGTTGAAAACTATGTTAGCCAATG